CAGTGTAGCAGGTCTACGCGTACAGTTCGCTGCCCGTACGTCATTCGCACAGGTGCTAGGACTGGTCAGCCTTGTGGGACGCTTGGTCACACACAGTCCCGCTGCTTCGCCCGTCTGAGCGACGACTGGCGCACAGTGTTTGGCGACGAGGCTGAGCTCCCCACCTGGCTGGAGCTGCATGGACAGAGGGTAGATATCTTTGCGCTTGACTATGATGCTATTCTCACTGCCATGTATGCATTGCCTACTAGTGCTGACCGTGCCTGTTACCTGTGCGTACCGCCTGACCCTGGTGAGGCTGCTGCTCTAGGTGCTAGTGCGTCTCCTGCTCTAGGTGCTGGTGAGGCTGCTGCTCTCGGTGCTAGTACGTCTACTGCTCTAGGTACTGGTGAGGCCGTGGCTTCAGGTGCTGGTGAGTCTGCTCTCTCTGGTACTGCGCCCACTGCGGTCTCGCACACCTTCACCCTTGACTCAGGAGCTTCCCGCTCCTTCTTTCGCGACTGCACCACACTCACGCCGCTTAGTCGGCCAGTTCCAGTCTCCCTGGCGGACCCCTCCGGGGGTCCAGTCCTTGCCCACTACTCCACGGTTCTGCCGTGTCCGGCCGCCCCGTCTGGCTCCCTGTCGGGTCTTTACCTCCCCTCGTTCTCTACGAACTTGGTGAGTGGAGCTGACCTCCAGGATCGGGGGGTTGACCAGTTCACTCCTGCGAGTCAGCGAGTGACTCACTGTACGTGTGCTAGGACGGGCCGGCACTTGGCCACGTTCACCCGTGCACCTGGCTCGAGTCTGTACATACTGACCACTGAGTCCCCTCAGGTAGCTGCGTCTGCGTCTACGTCTGGTCAGCTGGCGGCCCCCTGCGAGTGTCGCGCTTTGTCGCACGATACTCTCCTGTGGCACCACCGCCTTGGTCACCCCTCCTTGCCTCGCCTGCGTAGCATGCACTCTCGCTCCCTGGTCTTTGGTCTTCCCAGGTCTCTGCCTGCCGCTCTTCCTCGCTCCAGGTGCTCCCCAGGTAGACCCCCTCCCCGCTCCAGGTCCTGCTCCTTCAGGTGTTTCTCAGGTAGACCCTCCTCCCTTGACTGTGCCGGTTGAGGTCACTGGTGACTCAGGTCCTACTGAGGGTGGTCCTGCTTGAGGTGCTACTTGTGGGGGTGCTGAGCCTGGGGGTGCGGAGCCTGGGGGTGCTGAGCCTGCGGGTGCGGAGCTTGAGGGTGTGGAGCTTGGTGGTGCTGAGCCTGAGTGTGAGGGGTCTGGGGGTGCTGAGCTTGGCGGTACTGACGCTGGAGGTTCTGGAGCTACTGAGGGTGCTGGCGCTGGAGGTTCGGGAGCTGCTGGAGGGCCTAGTACTGGTGACGCTGGAGCTGGAGGTTCTGGAGCTGCTGAGGGTGCTCGCGCTGGAGGTTCTGGAGCCGCTGGAGGTACTGGTGCTGAGGGTACTGACACCGGAGGTTCTGGAGCCGTTGGGGGTGCGGGCGCTGAGGGTTCTGAGTCTGCTGTTGCGCGGTCTCCTTGGAGTAGCCGCCTTCGTCCACGTGTGCCTCTCACCCCACAGCAGCTGCAGGACTGGTACGGTCGCCGTCAGCGTCGCGCTGCTGGAGCTAGGAGTGGTGCTGGTCCTTTGTCTACTGGAGGTGCTGGAGTCGCTGGTTCTGGAGGTGCTCGTACTGGAGACACTGAGGCTAGAGACCCTGGGACTGGAGGTGCTGGCTCTGGGGGTGCTGCTGCTGGAGACACTGAGGCTGGCGACCCTGGGACTGGAGGTGCTGGTTCTGGGGGTGCTGCTGCTGGAGACACAGAGGTTGGAGACCCTGGGACTGGAGGTGTCGGCTCTGGGACTGGAGCCTCTTGAGCTGCTGGAGGTACTGGAGCTGCTGGAGGTACTGGAGCTGCTGGAGGCACTGGAGCTGCTGGAGCTGCCGGTCCTGGTGCAGCTGCGCCGACACGACGGTTCTTCGCTCCGCCGTCTCCGTCGTCTCTGCCGCCGTCTGACTCTGTTCTTCGTCAGGTTCTTACTCTCCCGTCGTCTACTAGTCTTCCGTTACAGCCTGGCTCACCGCTGCCTGCTCCTTCTCCTTACACTGTGCAGACTGGTAGTCCTGCTGAGCGTCGTGAGCCTGCGTCGCGTCCTGTTTCGCCTGTTCGTCCTGGTCGTACCGGTCGTCGTGTTCCTCGTTCGCGTCAGCCGGCTGTCCCCAGCACACACCTCGTAGTCCGTCGTCCTTCCTCTGCTCCGCAGCCTGTTCCTCTGCCGTCTCCTCCTGCGTCCTCTTTGCCTGACGTTCCGGACCCTGCGTCTGACCGGTTTCGTGCTGAGCACCCTACTGTCACGCGTCTACTAGCCACTGTTGTCACTGACCCGTCGTTTGAGTCTGCTGCTGCGTCTGCTCTTGTCGCTGAGCTTGTTGACTTTGTTGCTGCCTGTCGTCTAGACTTCGCTGCCAGTCTTGTTACTGAGTCTGAGTCTGTCTGTCCTCCGTCCGTCGGGGGTGAGTGTGCTCTTAGCACGGACGTCCTTGAGGACAGGCACAAGGACCTTGAGTGTCTTGCAGCCGCTGCGCCTCATCTCGTTGCCATGCTGCTTGCCCCTGAGGGAGACCCGGATGCACTGGACATCTCGACCCCGCGCTCTTACGCTGAGGCGATCGCGGGTGAGTACTCCTCTCAGTGGCAGACAGCCATGGACGCAGAGATGGCATCCTGGAAGTCCACTGGCACTTACGTCGACGAGGTTCCCCCTCCTGGGGCGAACATCGTCAGTGGCATGCGGATTTTCAGGGTGAAGCGGCCGCCAGGTTCTCCGCCTGTCTTCAAGGCTCGTTATGTTGCTCGAGGCTTCAGTCAGCGAGAGGGAGTTGACTTCTTCCAGACCTTCTCCCCCACCCCGAAGATGACCACTCTTCGGGTGCTGCTGCACGTTGCCGCTCATCGTGACTACGAGCTTCACTCTCTTGACTTCAGCACAGCTTTCTTGCAGGGCAGCCTGCACGAGGAGATCTGGCTGCGCCGCCCCCCGGGCTTCACTGGGTCGTTCCCTCCTGGTACCCAGTGGAGCCTCCGGCGGCCGGTCTACGGTCTCCGCCAGGCGCCACGTGAGTGGCACGACACACTGAGGACTACGCTTGCGGCTCTTGGGTTTGCTCCTTCTACTGCCGACCCGTCGCTGTTTCTGCGCACCGACACTTCACTACCGCCGTTCTACATCCTCGTATACGTCGACGACTTGGTTTTTGCCACTGCTGACACCGAGGCTCTCGCCCACGTGAAGTCGGAGCTGCAGAAGAGACACACGTGCACAGACTTGGGTGAGCTGCGCAGCTACCTTGGCTTGCAGATCACCCGGGACAGAGCACGCCGCACCATCACCTTGACTCAGTCACACATGGTGCAGCAGGTCCTTCAGCGCTTCGGCTTCACCTGGTCTTCAGCACAGGCCACTCCTCTGGCTACAGGTCACACGCTCTCAGCTCCACCTTCGGACGAGTCCGTAGAGCCGAGTGGTCCTTACCCAGAGCTAGTCGGCTGCCTCATGTACCTGATGACTTGCACTCGACCTGACCTCGCGTACCCTCTTGGTCTTCTGGCTCGCTACGTGGCTCCTGGTCGGCACCGACCTGAGCACATGGCTGCTGCTAAGAGGGTACTGCGCTACTTGTGCAGCACATCAGGCATGGGGCTAGTGCTTGGAGGGACGAGCCCAGTTGTCCTCACTGGGCACTCAGACGCTTCTTGGGTTGACGACCAGGCTACTCAGCGGTCGTCACAGGGTTACACCTTCAGCCTTGGCTCTGGTTCAGTTTCGTGGCGTTCTACACGCTCGTCTTCAGTTCTCAGCTCCAGTTGTGAGGCTGAGATCTACGCCACAGCCATGGCTGCACAGGAGTTACGCTGGCTCACCTACCTGCTGACTGACTTGGGAGAGCAGCCTCGTTCTCCTCCAATGCTGTACGTCGACAACAAGGCCGCCATTGCCTTGTGTGAGGAGCACAGACTGGAGCACAGAACGAAGCACATTGCTCTGCGTTACTTCCTGGCTCGAGAGTTGCAGCAGCGAGGCCAGCTTCGTCTTCGCCACGTGGCCACTCGGGCCAACACTGCTGATATATTCACCAAGGCACTTCCGTCTGGTGATCATCAGCGCTTTTGTACTTTGTTGGGCCTTGTGCCTACGTTTCCACACTTGCTGTAGTCTCTGCTTGTACTGTGATCTATATATATATGCATGCTGGCTCTTGCTAGGTAGCCATCACTGTACTGTTATTGCTGCATACGGTATATATATCTGCATGTGATTTGGCCCTGTGGCCCTTTGCTTGTGCTCGGAATGCGTGGTGACGTTGTGATCCACCCTGAGCTTGTTTTGCTTCTCTTGACTGGTCGTGTGACCCCTTGTTCTCCCCCACTTTGCCTATGGGGGTGTGTCAAACTATATGTGCTGCATATTGTCTAGGCTGTAGTGGGGTAGCCCATATGGGGTACAACCCAATTAGGGTTTACTACTTGTACTCCTGCATCCTGTTAGTTCATTCATTCCTGCTGCTAGATTCTGACAAAGTGGTTACCCCACCTCTTCGGTTCCAGATTCCAACCACTCTGAGGATTCCAATTCTGGTTCCTAGAGATTGGACCGAAGCTGTCTGCTCCTCTCGTCGCCTCTTTCACATTCGATCTTCATTCCCGTCATGTCCTGGTTAGCCTAGCCTGAGCGTAGAGTATTTTAGCTAGTTTTCTTCATTTCTGATCTTTAGTTTCAGGCTTGTACTGATGAAGGCTTGCAAAAGCCGAAACTAGTTTGCAATGTCCCTGATTCTTTAGTGAAGATTTGTTTTAAACTGGCTCTCTCAACAACGTTTTCAAGCTAAGCACACCAGGCTCCTTCCGCCATTTTTTCATGGAGTTTGTTTCGTTGTCCTAAACAACACGAGTTGATGGAAGTAAGGCCTCCGCAGCCCACCTGACCTCTCTTCACAGATTCCCTTGAATTGGGTGCCCGTGTCCTACTCCTGAACTTCCTTCCCTGGTCGCTCCAGCACCACAGCCACATGGCACTGGGCACATGAGTTGGAGCCTATGGCAGCCATGACTATGTCAAACGGCTCCCCCACTGCCTTGAACATGACCTGCTGCCGCTGACCGTTGGAGTCTGACGCCCATGCTGACGTGGCAAGCAGCCTGTCGCCAGGCTGGATGGGTGGGTTTGCCTTGTCAGCGTTGCCACGTGGCACGAGCTCGTCCACTATAACTGTTCCGTCGGGAGCCTCTGGTAGATGGTGCGGTGCAGTGAGGTGTGGTCAATGCCGTGAGATGCACAGGAGTGCGATTTAGGAGGGAAAAAGAGTGTGGGAGTGGTGATGGGAAAGAAGGGGGAGTGCAGGGGAGAGGAAGATTGGTGGAGAAGAGGGACGGTTGAGACAACGGAAAGGAGGGAGGGAGAGAGGCATAGAGAGGAGAGAGAGGGAGAGGAAGAGGGAGGGAGAGGGAGAGGAAGAGGGAGGGAGAGGGAGAGAGAGAGAGGACGGGAGACAAAAAAGAGGGACAGAGAGGGGAAGAGGGAGGAGAGAGAGAGAGAAACAGTGTGACATCGAACAGTGGGGCCACTGAAAGCATTTATAGAAACAAGATCCATACAAAACCAGCGTATATTGAAATTCACATGTACAACCAAGCTTCCAGTCAACCCTGTCGTCTACTCCAATCCAGTTGTTCGAGGCAAACAACTTCCCTAGTGACAGAACAAGCTTGTTCTTAGACAGCAATCAATAACACGTGCGACAAATTCAGCACATCTAGGTACGTCCATCCATGCATGCCATGAGCAGCACTCGGATGCGTTTCCCTAACAATCACCCTCTGTACATTGCACCAGCGCCGACCCCGCCTATCCCCATGCTCATTCCCACCCTTATGTCCCACAGCGAAGCGAGTCACTTCAACAACAATACATGCCGTCACTCCTATACTCGCGCAGCCTCTTCTCATCCCATCACCCCCCATGCGGCTCCTCCATGCGGTCTTCTCCCCAGTGTGAGTAGAGCTCGATGTCTTCCTCCTCCTTGTGATTGACCCTCTCCTCATTTCTCGTCCTTCGTTCGTTCACCCATTCGCCCGTTCGTTTCGACCGCGCGTCTACTGCAAGTCGCATTCGTCGGGTCGCTCCAGCACCAGGATGACATCTCCGCCATACGATGCGTTCGACGAGATCGCAGCCATGACCGTCTCGAAGCGCTCGCCGGCGACGTTCAGCACCACCGGCTCCGTCGCCCACTTGGCGTCGCCGCTCGTCGCATTGCTTCGCGCGGTCGTCGCCAGCAAGCGGTCGCCCGCGCGCACCTTGTGGATGGGCGCGTGCTCCGCATGCCCGCCGTGCTGCACGTCGTCCACTAGGATGTCGCCCGTCGCACTCTCTGATATCCATGGCACATCATGCGACATCATGCGACATGCGACGTGCGACATCATGCGACATCCACGAGCGAGAGTGGGTGCGAAAAACGCGCGGTTTTAGCTCCGTAACACTCGGCTAGGCGAAGAAATGAGGAATTCAAGCCCAGCGTCGAAGGATGGAGAGTTAGCAGTGCGGCATTCGTGCGTCATGCGACACGACGCGACATGCGACAACCCAAGAAAGGAGCTTCGCGGTTTCGCGAGTCAATCCTAATGGAGCCGTGCCGGGCGGTACACCGAAGCGCAACCGCGGACGAACCTGACGTAAAGCGCTGACGTCGCAGGCCGAGGGGCTTCCGCAGTTGACAGTAAGTTGCTCCGAACAGGCGAGAGTAAAAAACAATGAGACCAGCACTCCGTCGCGCACTTACTATCGGGGATTTAACGTCGTGCGGCAGGCGCCGTCGTGCAGAGAACACTCAGGTGTTCGACAAAACAAATCGCTTCTTGGTCGGCAAGAGTGTTCAGCACGAGCGGCGCACCTTTAAAGACGATGCCGAGCGGCTTGCCGAGCGGGACCCAGTAGACCTCGCCGCCGTGCGACTCGACCTCGAGGTTCTCGCGGTGGTCGCCGAGGTTGACGCGCACGAGCACCTTCTCCTTGTCCTCGCGGTGCACGGACCGCTCCATCGCCACGCACGTCAGGCGCCGCGGCGACGCGCGTGCGACGACTGCGCGAGGAGCTCGGGCGGTGACGGGGCACGCGCGCGCGACCAGCTGCGACGACCATGCGAGGGAGGTTGGGGAGGCGAGAAGCGACGCCATTGCTTAGCGTGGAAGTTGTTGACGGCCCGGTGTGTCAGAACGATGACGGAAGGCGTTACGCCTCTTCGGAAATGCAAAGCGAATTTTTTTGGGAGCCAAAATCGGCAGTAGTGCTCTCAGATTGCGCTGACGCAAGAAAGCAGGAATATGGGAAATGTGTGAATTGTGAAATGCAAGCAGCTCTACGTGCAAGAATTGGGCGGGGCGCGCATTTATGCAAAATTTGGGCCACTACGTGCCGGGCGGATAGGGGGAGGTGGGGGGAACGAGAGGGGGAATGCGCACGAGGAGGTGCATGCGGGGAGAGCGCAAGTGCCGATGCCAGCGCGGACAATTCGTGCCACCAAGATTCTTGGCTGGGCGCGCTGCTTTCTTGGCAATCTTGAAGGACGCTTGGCGGAGGTGCCACCAAGCGCAGCGCGATTGGGAGATGCCGCCAGAGCGCAGCGCGGTGACACCCTTGGGATGAACGGAGTTGCTTGTGCCAGTTCCAAGTGTGTGTTGTACGTCCAGCGAGGCATGCCACGTCTGAAGAATCACGCAGTTGTCTGCCTTACCACGCGCAAATGACGTGGCAAGTAGTGTCGTCGTGTCAAATGAATCTGATCCCGTTTTCGATTATTCCGATATGGTAATTGAGTAGTCGAATATTTCATGAGTAAACTTGATCATTATATGACATATGGATATAAAATGGCATCAGTTATAAATATTTAGGCATTTACCTATATCAGTTAAAGCCTCAATATTTCGTAGAAAACAGAGCCGAGTTTCACACTGTTAGTCCAATTCATCAAAGGACGCATGAGGCCCATAAGTACATCCAGGCGCATCAACATCCATGGCGCCACAGCAGTCCCAGAATCTGAGGAGACCTGTGCCATGCACCACACTCAGCTGGTCCTCTGGGCGACTGCTGGCTCTAGTGAACCCCACGGCCTTGCCCCTCTCTCCCCCTGTGAACAAAGCAGGGTGGTACCTGATAGCAGGGTGGAAGAGGTGACAACGCAAATATGATGTGTCTCAGAAATCGCCTCACTTCTGAGGCGCCTCAAAATTCTCATTTCACAAGGTGTTAGAGGTGGCAGGGAACCTGGATTAATAAGAATTTGAGGGGAGCAGAACGGCTTAAAAGGAAGAAAGATTGACAAAAAAAAACGGGGGAGGGAGAGAGGGATGAACCAGCTGCACTTGTACGAGCATCACCGTTGAAATGGCAGCAGCACGAGCAGAGCAGCATAAGAGCATCCCTCACATGAAGGCCAACGCCACGCCTCTGTCGAAGCTGGTGATGTCTGATGCAGGACGGTGGCAGGAGATGGAAGGGGGAAATGTGGCACATCTATTCCAGGGAAGCCGTACCTGGGGTGAATTGGGCCACAACAGCTGCTTCGAAACACGTATATTCACGCTCTCACGCGGAAAATTTGGCTCTTTTCACCTCAGGCGTACCATCAGGCAAGTTTCACGTCCTCTGACGTCCATATCTCCATACCACCGCGCCTGCGCGCCTGCGCGTCTCCAAGCCTCCGCGCCTCTACATCACGCGCAGCAGTCCAGCTGCAACCCCCTGCCATCCCCATTCACCTGCACGCGCGTGCGTGGTTGCGACGCGGATCGTACGCCTCTCTGCAGCGGCGACACGTCTTCGTCTCGCCGCTCCCACTCCCCGCCTCCGCGCTCAACCCCGCTGCTCCGCCGCTCACGCCCTCGCGCTCTCCAGCTGCGGGGCTAGCCGCGGCGGTACGATCGTGCGCCTGTCCGTCTCCCCCCGCCACCGCCGCCGCTATCACCGCGCATGCACGCGCCTGTGAAGGGAATGTGCGCGCGGAAAGCCGCGGCAGGGCAGCGGGGGGCGGCGGCGGCGCGGAGGTGCGCAGTGCGGTCAAGTGCGGCTGCGGAAAGGACCGCGTGTTCATTTTCGAAACTCCCGCAACGACGACGATGACGGTGGCGGGGTGCGGTCAAGTGCGGCAGTTGGTTCGCGCTTGGCGAGGGAGGGAAAGCGGAAGGCGTGCGAGTGAGCATGCGCTTGGCGAGGTTGCGTTCCTCCCCTCTGGTCTGAGTTCAGAATGAAAAGACAAATCCTGTGTGGTGGGGTTCGGCGTTACTGCCAAGTTCCTCGCTGAGAGTTTGCGAACGTCGCCAACACGAGCAGGTGTCGACGAGCAAAGTCCATCGAGAATTGTATCGTCGCCCTTGTTCGCAACCCCTTTCTGCAATCACGACAACGTTTCGTCGGGGTGTGACGAAAATCGTTTGGGGTTGAGACTTGGGTGGTGATGAGATGATTGGTGAATCGTGGCATCCAGCATGAATCGCACGCCGCTCCTGCTCGCATTCCCGTTTCTTCCTGTAATTATTTTCCAGCGCATCTGCTGTGGTGTGATATAAGTCCGTGCGTTACGTTATGACAGGCGCTATGCGTCGCGATACCATCGCCGTGTCACCCACGCTTCGCCCACGCGCCTTGCAACCCGCACTGAATCTTCGCTGTCCTCCTCGAATGCACCGCATCGCCGCCTTTTCCTGATCGCCTCGCTCGCTCCTCGCCCCTCGTCGCCCACCGCAACTTCCGGCGCCTTATCCCATCCCCTATTCACCGCGATTTTCGCTCGCGTGTGTCGTCACGGCAATTGCGGTAGTGCCTCAGCACTTTGTGCCTCGCCTCGCCTCGCCTCGCCTCGCCTCGCCTCGCCTCGCCTCGCCGCGCCGCGACGCGCCATGGACTATTACGCCGTGCTGGGCGTGCGGCGTGACGCAAGCTCGCACGAAATCAAGGTGCGGCAATACCTCTTCTTCCCCACCCGTCCCACTTTTCCTGTCCGCCTTCCTCCCCCCCCCCCCCCTCTCTCCCCCCTCCTCCCCACGCATCCCGCACCCCCACAATGACGCGGACGCGGCGTGCTGCGAATCGTTGCCGCCCCCCCTCGCTACTACTAGCCATTCGGCCACGTTGGTGCCATCACTAGGCCGGGTCTGCTGCTCTTTTCCGCACAGTTCCTCCGAATCGCGTCTGCCGAATTTCGCGGGTTGCGGGTTGCGGATCGCGGGAACAGTGCGCTGGGCACTGGGGAACAGCAGCGGCGCGACCCACCACGTCTTGAGGCGCCTCACAACGCGACCCACCATCTCGCACTGGTGCAAGCAGAAGGGCACCGTAGAACGGGTTTCGGGTTTGCCATCCCAGCCGCAACACGAAACGCCCTTCTCGCGCGTGCCACCCCATCCACCCGCATTCCCCTCCGCGCGCCTTCCGCCCGTATCCTCTTGCATCGCCTCTCGCCTCGCCTCTCCGCGCAACCCTGCCTGCCTTGCGCGCATGCATCTCGTAACGCGCATGCATCATGTCGCACACATGCTCCCCCCGCCACTCCCTGCTCACTCGTTCCCGCCTTCTCCTCGCACTGGCACCCTGCTTTCCCCCTCCCATCTGCCTTCCTTCCCCCCCCCCTTTTCCCCTCCTGTCCCTCTCCCCTCCCACTGTGCCCCTCCCAATCCTTCCCCCTCCCACCAGGCGGCGTACAGGCGGCAGGCCATGAAGTGCCACCCTTATCGCCTTTCTCCCTTCTCTTCCTTCTCAATCCCCCTTCCCTTCCTCCCTTCTCCTTCCCCCTCCCACCAGGCGGCGTACAGGCGGCAGGCCATGAAGTGGCACCCAGATCGCGTGCATGCAGCTGGTAAGGGCGCCAGCAGGGGCGCACAGGACGCCGCTGCTGCTCGCTTCCGAGCCATTGCCGAGGCGTATGAGGTGGGGGAGAGGGGAGGGGAGGGGGAGAGGTGGGCGGGGGGAAGGGGGATGGAGATGGGAATGGGAGCCAGGTGGGAAAGGGGAAAGGGAGATCGGGAGAAGAGAGAGGGTGGAGTGAAGGGATGTGCTGGAGGATGAGATCAAGAGACACAAAGCACACAGAGTGCAAGGGCTTGAGTTGAGCGTGCGAGGTGTGAGTGTTGGACCGCGCCCTGGCAGCGTATGATATGATTTTTGAGACGCCTCAAAACGCATGGTATGATGCGTGAGGTCATGGGGCTGGGAGACAGTCTGGGACTGGCTTCTCCATCCATCGCCAGTCAAGTCTCGTTCCTTCAACCCAATGTGTCCATGTCCCTCACACGGCTGTCCTTCCTTCCCTTCTTCTTTCAGTAAGCGCCAGCTGTGATCTGGTTAAAAAGTTACAATGGAATGTTCTTTGTGAGTATGGCTTGTCTGCTCTTTCCCTCTCTCGCCCACACACTCCCCTCGGACCCTCCCCCAACCTCCCCCTTTTCAGGTGCTGGGCAATGAGGCGCGCAGGCGCGCAAACAACAGCTGCTGGCTTGCACGACGGCAGCATTGACTTGCGAGTTGATTTCAAAGTCTTCTTACGACATACCTTCCCCCTCACCTCCCCCTCTTCTCCCCCTTCCCCCCCTCTCCGTTCAGGTGCTGGGTAATGAGGCGCGCAGGCGTGCATACAACAGCCGCCGGCATGCGTGGCGGCAGCGGGCGGGGCATGGGGGCACGTGGGACTCATGGCGTAGGCAGCACAGCCATGCAGAGTGGGATGCAGGGCGCACAGACGGAGGACACAGCAGCAGTGGCCGCAGTAGTGGCAGTGACAGTTACTGGAAGCAGCACCAGCAGCAGCACTATCGGGACAGGCAGCAGAGGTGGCAGCAGCAGGAGGCGGGTGGAGGGGCGTGGGGGCGCGCATGGTGGAGGTGGGGGCGAGGGGGATGGGTGGCGGCAGTGAGCAGAGGCATGGGGCCTGCTGACCTCGCCTTCCATGCTGCTATTGGCAGGTGAGGTGGATGAGCACGTGATTGTGGTGTGCTGTGGTGTGCTGTGAGTGAGGAGGGTTCATGGATGCATGCCAGTCATAGGGTGGGGCGCTGTGCTGTGCTGTACTGTGCTGTGCTGTGCTGTGCTGTGCTGTGCTGTGCTGTGCTGTGCTGTGCCGTGCCATGCCGTGCCATGCCGTGCCATGCCGTGCCGTGCCGTGCCGTGCCGTGCCGTGCCGTGCCGTGCCGTGCCGTGCCGTGCCGTGCCGTGCCGTGCCGTGCCGTGCCGTGCCGTGCTGTGCCGTGCTGTGCCGTTCCGCACTTCATCTTGTGCTCGTACAGGCCAGCACACTAGCCTTTCACCACAGCTTCGCTATTCTTCGCAAGGTTCTCTGATTGAGGAATTGCTTCTACCCATTCCTGATGCACCACTTCCACCACCCACAGACCCACCCACCCATCCACGCATGCCTTTGTGTGCTGTGCAGCCTTATTGTGGGCGGGCTAGTGCTGGGCGGCACAGCAGGGGACTACCTGTGGGCCTCGGCCAACAGAGGGGTGAGTGCTGCCTGTGCGGGTTGAGGCTAAGGGAGGGACTGAGCAGTGCAGGTCGGCAGAGTCTGGAATGGAGATGGTGGCTTTGCTTTGCGGTATGTGTTTCGAGGCTTTGGCGCTGTTGTGACAGAGGGATGCTGTGACATGCCATGCCATGCCATGCCATGCCATGCCATACCGTGTGAAATGCTCTGCCATGCCGTGTGAAATGCTCTGCCATGCCGTGTGAAATGCTCTGCCATGCCGTGTGAAATGCTCTGCCATGCCGTGTGAAATGCTCTGCCATGCCGTGTGAAATGCTCTGCCATGCCGTGTGAAATGCTCTGCCATGCCGTGTGAAATGCTCTGCCATGCCGTGTGAAATGCTCTGCCATGCCGTGTGAAATGCTCTGCCATGCCGTGTGAAATGCTCTGCCATGCCGTGTGAAATGCTCTGTCATGCCGTGTGAAATGCTCTGTCATGCCGTGTGAAATGCTCTGTCATGCCGTGTGAAATGCTCTGTCATGCCGTGTGAAATGCTCCAGCATGCTGCAGTGCGATGCCATGGATCAAGCGGTCCACTGCGACATTCCATTTCATGCGATAAAGCCGTCATTTTCTGTTTCCACTCCTCGTGGTCTGAAAGGGCACTAACACTATTGCTGTGGCCGTTGTTTATCCCTGCCCCTCCCACTGCCCGTGACTGTGGTAAGCAGAAATCATTTGAGGAGGCAATGGCAAGAATAGGTACTACCAGTAGGGCAGCACCTCCTGTGGTAAATACTGACAGTGTTGATGCCCAAGACACCGGATGGGGCACATCGCCCTCGTAGATTATCTTTTTGAAGGTCCGCTGTTTGTGGTACCGTATGTCGAAATTAGTGAAGTGTACATAAAGTCGCGTCACGTCCCAGCGTCACGGTAGTGGTACAATAACGTTCCCAGCAAGGCCTAAAGTATTGTATCAGATAGAATACGGTAACATACCCTTTTTACCCTTCCTTCTGGCCGCTTTCCAATAGTTACCGCAGCATTGTAAGAATATATTTACATGTATATCGTTGTTACGGGTGTAATGGGACGAGATAGCAAGGATTGCACGAAGTGTTAAACTGAGTACCGTATAGTTCCGCCTATAAGACCCGGGGGACTCTCTAGAATTGCTTGAAAATATGCTAGGGTGAACATCATGGCAGTTGCAAATTTTGAAGACCCGGGGTACACCTATATGTCTAGTAACATTAAAGGATTTACCATATACAGTCTCATTATAGGGGGGGGGGCGGTGGGGGATCTTTCATTTTTCTCGTCGAAATCCCTCGCTTAGCGCACCACGTGCGTGACGTCGCCAACAACACGCGGCAAAGTACAATGCACGACGGCGGATTGAACGCCTCTAATCACGCACGCACATCAACTTGATGGAATCACCCGTCAAGATGGCCACGTCACGGGGCCTACGAGCAGCCCATCTCGTTTCAGAGGCAGCAGAGGCATTGGACGTGGTGCGCTAGGGTTTCACGTCTCCAGCCTGCCGAGCACGGGAGCCCTGGTGGTTCATTTCTCTCTGTTTCGTGTCTCAGATCCAACTCTGCCACTCTTGCTTCTTTCATGACTACAAAGCACGCTATGGCAGTTGCCACTCAAGCAAGCAGTTGCCATTTGAACACCAGCAGCTTCTTTCAATGTCCGTTCACGAGAGCCTATGGCGTACTCGCCATTCAAGCTTAGGCAGTTTGTCTGGCCAGCCGGCTATCGTGCTCATCACAAGCCCGGCACCGCCAGCTCCGCCTGCACCTCTGGCCCCTACGGCTCCTCCGGCGCCTCCTACGCCCCCTGTGCTTCCCCCTGCCTTGGTCGACTAGCGCAACAACCCTCCATTAGACCCTCTCAAGAACGAGGGGTTTCTCGAACCCGCCGTCGAGGATGACGACAACGCGGGTGACGACGCGGTGAACCCCGACATGGAGGCGCACGCCCTCAAGCGCATGCTTAACTTCCGCGGCCGTGGCTTGGCCGTCCCGATCCACCTCATCAAGCACTGGAGCAGGGTCTAAATGAAGGCACACTACCCGGACGTGAGGTGGATGGTGTCCAACAGGTGGACCTACCGCTTCCGCGCGCGCATGGGACTCTCCATCCGCGTGAAGACGAAGATGGGCCAGCGTCTCGCAAGAGTCAAGACGTTTGTGTGTATCGAGGCCTCTTAGTGCATGCATATTTTGCTATAATGCATGTGATTGCGATGTTTTACCCAATTTTGTGGCTCATCACCACGAATCTTAACGTGTACGTGCGTGGCAGAGTGTAAGCCGAAGAGCTTGCAGTTTTGGGAGTTCACGCGGAAGAACATCATCAAGCACAGCATCGACACGTGGAACATCATAAACGCCAACCAAACACCGGTGTCCTTGGAGATGCCGAACGAGCGCACCCTTCATCACCGCGATAAGAAGACGGTGCACGTCAGGAGCGCGGGTTATGAGAAGGAGAGGGTGACGGTAATGCTAGGCATCACTGCTGGCGGCCGCAAACTCCCTGCCATGGTGATTTTTAAGCGCAAGACAATCCCGAAGATTCGGGTCCCTGCAGGTGAGTTGCAACCGTTAGAAGCTTCTGTTTCGTATGGGTTTTGGGGGGGATGTCTAACCACGATTGACGTTCATGTACAGGAGTCGTCATCCACGCATAGCCAAAGGGGTGGATGGACGCCAAGCTTGTGGATGACTGGGTGAACAACATCCTGCTGCCATTCATCAAGCCCTCGCGTGGCATTCGACGGTCCAAGACCCTTTTGGTCCTGGACTCGTACCAAGGTCACCTCACCGATGGCGTGCTCACCAACTTGAAGTGGAACCGGGTGATCCCGGCCATCATCCCAGGGGGCTGCACTCCTCTGCTGCAGCCCCTTGACGTGAGCATCAATTGCTCGTTCAAGGCGCTGCTACGTGAGATGTACAACGAGTGGTTTGCCGAGATCGGCATCAACCTCCTCCCCCTCCTCCTCCTCCTCCTCCTCCTCCTCCTCCTCCTCCTCCTCCTCCTCCTCCTCCTCCTCCTCCTCCTCCTCCTCCTCCTCCTCCTCCTCCTCCTCCTCCGTCCCCTCGCCCCCTATGGCTAACTTTGGTGCTACGACTCCTCTCGGTCGGCGCTGTTGCGACCATAATTGATCGTGCCTAGAATCACCTCAGGAAGGTTCTCTGAGTGTGTAGCAGCGGAACAATTTTTATTAGGTCAGAGTGAGTTTTAAAAATGACTGAGGGAATGCATGCAAGTACATTCCTTTATATATGAAACAGGGAATACAGAAGGTCATATACTAGCCATGTACTGTAAGGATCACATTCCCTTATTCGAATTCAAACCGTGCGACTTGGGACGATTACAAAACCATTCCCGCCAAAATCCTCGTTCCTGCAGCTGCCCGATGCTTCTACTTCGATGGTCCAGATGCTGCTTTAACCGCACGCGACTCTTTGCGTTGCTTTGACCTTTCGTACTCACTTCTGCATTCTTCGTTCTTGCTACTGGCAGGGATGCACAGTAGTTTTTTTTCGACCGTGTGTTGCTGCAATCCGCCGCCCCTCGTACAGTGCAAAACTGTACGTCAGCTAGAGGTGGTGATGGTTCCTTTACGACACGTTCCAAGCCTCCACGGTATGGCAACAAAGAGTGTTGGGGGTGGAAGGGTTTTCCGAGGTTGATGTTGCGAACCTTTTACATCAGCCTCGGAAAACACAGCATCTTGCCTCTGCCAGCATCGTGCTTCTGCCAGCATTTTGCTTCTGCTACAGTAGAGAGGGAATGCTGCAATCTGCCGCCCCTCGTACGGTGCAAAACTGTTGTGAGCT